CGGGGAAGGAGGCCGGCAGCGGGGACGCTGCTCCTCACAGGGCTGCCGCCTCCCCGGGGGCGGGTTGGGTGAGGCAGGGCCAGGGGGATGGTTTACAGCCCTGCTTTTGTGTCAGTATCGTGGTTTAGGCACTGCAGTTTTCTCGCAGTAGCAAATAACTTAGCGCCGCGGTTAACGGTGTGTCTGCCCTTATCCAACTGCATCAGGTACCTGCTTACCAGTATAAACCAGTACCTGACACCAGTATAAACCAGCTCCATTTCTGATGCACAGTCACACAGGTTCAACTGACAGCCCTCGCCCCTGCTGGGCCAGGGAGCACGTTAATGCCATTGTTCTCCAAAGCGCAGCAGCTTTTGAGGGGGCACAGAGGCTATCGCAGGAGGTCGATAAGGGCACCACAACACCCTGTTCTGCGTGGAAGGAAGGACCGGTCCGAGTATGCGCCTTTTCCAGATGGCCTGCTTGGCCACCACACTAATTACACCAGTACTCACAGAAACATCATAAACTGATATGTAAATACTTTTTCCTCCTCTAATGTCATAGGGGAGGGTTAATTAGAAAAGGTGCTTTCTGCCCCAACAATTTCAGTCTGGGGGGAAAAAAAAGCCGAAAAAGCATTCATGTGAGATGCCTGCAGATTCTCAGCACCCATTCAAACTGGTTCACTATAGTTGTAAATGCTATAGAGAACAATGCCAAGGCAAGGAAGTACACTGAAGATTGTTTTTTTTCCTTCATAATTCAAGGTTTCAACAATGGGTTTATTATTGCTAGACAATTCATTTTGAAAGACAGAATCTCAAATAAATTCTCACAGGTCCTCTTCTCTTATTTTCTCAAATACACAGTCCTCTTCATTTGGCCTAACCCAAAATCTTTTCCTTGATATAAAACTCGAATGAACTACCTGCAGTGAAACAAAAACAGAAGAGTATACTCGTTTCAATAATTATAGATACAAACATAAGCTAGGAAATCTGACACGATACTGTTCATTTCACGATACTGCATTTCAGAGCAGATTTTTTTTTCCTGCAGGAATAGGACACAAGAACAGTTATTTCCGCTCTTAAGGTTTATTGCAGTGTACTAGATGTGGCGCAGCTGGAATGGCAGCTCCAAATGTGCTAACACTGATGTCCTTGTGGCCACCATAATGCCAAATAACGTAGGTACGGGTACTTTAACTGCCTACTAAGCCTTCTGAATTAGGTTGACTACTGTTAATCACACATTCTAAACTTTAACCATAACACCTGCATAAGTCATACCTTTCAACTCTACTTTTCCTAAATGGTACCATGTACTGTCTGAAACTTCCTACCACCCCATCACCCAGCAGGTATAAGCAGGCGAACTATAAGCACCCAAGGTATATGCAGGCAAATGATACCATTATATTTTATGTATATGCACACTTTTCTGTTGTACTAGGAAAACTTATAGCACAGATTTTTCTTCTGCCTCTTGCAATATGGTACTTTTGATATATATGTAAAGTAAATGTCCTGAAAACCTTACTAGAAGTGCCCATCACAAAGCTATGGCAACCATGCCGTAATAACTAATGTTAAGGCATTAGGAAACTGGAGCCAAATTTTGCATAGATTATAATCTCTGTAGAAGTTACTTCATACCTCTTTTTTCAAGATTTCTAAGAGACATAACAGCAAAATTAACTAGATGTAGGCATGTTCTACAGCACAGCCTCACTATCTGCAATGTCCACGTATTGCGTACTAGCTGGATCATTTTTATCTCAACTCAAAAGATTGTTCTTGATTTTCCTACTAAACCTTAATGCTGCACTAAATTATCTATTCAAACAAGAATTTACAGGCTGTTATGCTGATCTAGCAGTATCAGCATACTGCTACAGGATCACAAAGAAAACCAAAGTTAAGTTTTTCTTCTCATGAGTCAGCAAAAAATGTTTGGCGTAAGTTTTCAGAGTCTTTGGACAGCAGTCAGTTAAACTTCCCGCCAACTTGGAGCAAAAGACTTGCAAGACTCTTGGGGATACTAATGGCAAAATTATAAAGACCCAACTCAAACAACACTTCTTCAAATGAGAATGTGCAAAGACACATTTTTAATACATTTTTGAAGAGTCTTGCAAAAAGAAATAGAGAAACAGGAAAGGGAAGCCTTAAAAACCTTAATATTGCAATCACAGCATTTAGAAGTTAGCTAAGCATGGTTTGAGACTGTATATTCATTGCCTGTCTAATAAGACAGCTTGGCGCATGAAGACCTAGATCAGTTTAAACTTGCTGTATAAAATGAGGCATAGCATACCATACTATCACTGTTTAACGCAACAGCATACCTTGACTTGCTTTAACAAACAAGTCCATTCTAACTATAAGTTGTAATTTTCTTAGTTCACCGAGTTTCATAGTAGCAGCCAGACACTGCACCAGCAAGACACAGCTGATGAGCTCAGTGGTTTTATGTTGCCTTGTCCAAGGCCGCTCTCCTCACAAAAATTCAGAGGGAGCATTCACAGTCCATCACAGAGGTATTTTAACATATGTTCAAGTCAGAACAATTGCCTCAAGCCCAGAGTACCACACAACTTAGTCCTTGCTAAAGTTGTACCACAGTGAAACCGCTGAACC